GGGACAGCTTTCCGCTGACGTGCCTATACTGGGATGGGGTTGGGAAAGCTGGAGGGCCCAACCCTAGCGTCTGCAGCCTGGGAATGTTTGTGTGGCTTCGGTTCTTGTCTCCTGTGCTCTACCGAACAGACGCGCTTCACTCTGAAGCAAAGGCACCGCAAACGTCACCCAGGCTGAACTCAGAGGAGGAGCTCATAGCTCAATGAGCACTGCACTGGTGCCAGGGGCCTCGCGTCCCTGATGGTCCCACATGGTGCAGCTGGTTTGCTTCCCACAGCTGGTTTCACTCACCCTGATGGCTGAAGGCTCACAGGATTTGCTCCCATCACTGAAATCAGAGCACAGAAACTCAGTAGCTCCCTGCAGGATACAACCTGACTCCTTGCTCTGGGTGCCTGCTCAGGGCAGCCCCCCTCAGTGCTGAGCCAAGGCAAAGGGCACCAGGCCCGGGGTGAGGATGGACACACAGCCACAGCCCCTGAGCTGAGGGAGGGAGAATCACAGCAAGGAGTGAAGCAAACGTGAGGAGTGAGTGAGGAGGTCTGGGAGGACAGGCGCAGAGGTGAGGTTTGTAAAGAAGAAGCGATATCTTGTTGTCTGTCTATTTCTTAACCTGCATTTCTCTTTTTGTCTCCCATACTAGACAGCGGGGGCAGCTGGGATTGCAGCTATTTTGCAAGTCCCGCTATTTCACCAGGAGTATTTCATATATACCAGGATCTGCCTTTGTACTGTAACCCAGCACAAGAAAATGCCTCATCTTTCATTGCATCGCTCTAATTCTAAATTACTGGCACTGCCCAGCAGGATGCACACGGCAGCAATGGCACGTTCTTGAATGTCCATTTATTCTCTCTTGTTTTTTATGTTTAAAGCAAGACTGGCACTGTACCCTGCAGCAGGCTGGCGCGGCCAGGCCAGGGGCACTCACACAGGAGACTGTGGTTACAGCTCTCACACCAACCCTGTTCTCCCCGTGTAGTGCCTCCTCCGTCACCGTCTCCTGTTTTCTCCAGCCTAGGGTAGAGGAGCAGTAGATTATGTACAGCAAGGGGGGGGGCTGGGGGGGGAGAAGTAAAAGGCAAAGCAAAGCAAGGCTCAGATGGAGGCTTGTTCCCCTTGTGGAAACCCAAGTGTTCCCCACTAGCAGGAGCAGCCTCCTCCCAGGCTTAATGGCAGTGGGAATATGAAGTTGGCTTTTCCTGGTGCTGGATAGCCCCAGAAACCAGAGCTCTCAGGGGACACGCACTGCACTGATGCAGTTCTAAGCCTGCTGGAAATGTTCTGTATTCAAATCTATGGCATTGGCTGTTGACCAAAGCCCCAGGACACCAACCCTGTGGCTGGCCCAACAGGCCAGGGATCAGCAGAAGGTCCTGCTGGCAGAACCGACATACCACAGCCATGTGGAGTGGGATTAAAACTCCTTAGGCATTAGGGGGAGGGAGGGAAGGATGCCACCTCCAATTTAATACTGCAGTAAATGATAACTAGAACCTTTTACAGGAAAACCTGAGGTTTTGATTTCTCTCCTGCTAGTGAGTGTGGATGCAATGGTCTGGATCCACCCCGAGCACACGCATCGGGTGTCTGTGCTGGATGCTTCGAGGATCTTCCTTACCCCCTGCCCCCTTGTCCCCCACACTTGTGCAGAGGTTGAATGAACCTAGGGAAGCTCATGGTGCTAACACTGCCACTCCCCTCTTGTTTTGCAGATTATATGAAAGAATCTGTGTGCAGCTCCAGCACTTGTTCCCTGAACAGCAGCGAAAACCCATACGCCACCATCAAAGACCCCCCCATTTTAACATGCAAACACTCCGAGAGCAGCTACGTGGAAATGAAATCGCCTGGGCACAGGGAGTCCCCATATTCAGAAATGCCAACTTCATCGACCGCCAATAAAAACATCTATGAAGTTGGTAAGAGGGGCAGGAGGCAGAGGGGCTGTTGGGGTGTTTACTGCAGGTGCTGGTGTGTTTCCTTTTCCCCTTTTCCGAACATGGATACGGCACAGTGCAGGGAGGTGCCGGCCATGGGAGAAGCCCTGTGCCTTCGTGTGTTAAGTTGGGGAGTTGATCCCGGATAGGGGCTTGTGCAAGGCTGGGGGACGTGAGCGTGGTACCGCTCCTCTTCACGCTTTTGTTTTAAACTGCTGCAGTCCAGCTGCAAGACATTGCAAGAGCAGAAGTGTTGGTCGTTTGAAGCCGCTGTCTGCAGGGCTTTGGGAACTGCCTGCTCTTGGCTCTGGTGTTTTCCTCCCTAGTCTGCTCCATGTGCTGACGGTAACGCTGGAGGAGATGAGTTGGGAAGTTGAGTGACAAAACACACGAGTAACTAGCCTCGGGAGAGCTGCAGGTTACCATAACCCAGCTTTCCTTGCTTCCCCAGAGCCCACTGTCAGCGTGGTCCAAGACGCCCGTGGTCGGAGTGCCAGTTACCTCCAGAATCCATATGACCTGCCTAGGAACAGTCACATTCCTGGTCACTATGACCTCCTCCCCGTAAGGCACAGCCCAACACACGGGCCATCTTGGGACAAGCAGTCTTAAAAGGATGAACTTCACTGGTGCACTGTGCTGCAATCACAAACTGAGGAAGCAAAAGAGAAGACAATCCTTTTCTGGGCTGCAGGATGCTGATGGGACTTCAGACTGTCTTACACAAGGACCTAACGTAACACAACATCAGCTTGGGCCAACTGCTGCTGCATGATGTTATTTATAAAGACATTTTTATATGGGTAACAGGACCTACACATGACTGGAGTCCATCACCCCAGGAAGGTGTCTACGTGCTCCAGGCAAAAACTCTCCGTGGCGTGTATTCTAACCCTGGCTTTGCTGTACAATAAAACACACAACCATGCTAAGTAGAAGGACTTAAAGATGTACATTTCTACCAACTACATCAAGAACCCTTTTACTGTTAGGAACAAGGTGACTTGGAACACACTGGGATATATTTTACTTCTTTGTCATGGAAATGGACGTTTTTCTGAATGAAAGCAGGGAACCTTGTCATTTCACTGTCTGGAAACCCCATTTGCTGCCATGACCATGTGCAACCTGTGCAGATCACGCTTGGTAACTAGCATGGAGATTTTTCTCTTTCTATTCAGTACCAGGGTCCTTGAGCTGAGGAATATTAACACAGACACGGTCTGTGCAGGTCCAGTGATCTTTGCTAATGACTTGAGTTTCAACAATGGGCCTCACACCCAGCTTACCACAGATTTAACAAGGTATAAAATACTCCAATTGGCACAAACAGGCTTTAATTTCCCTTATACAACTGTGATTTTTGTCAGATAAAGCCACCAGAGCTGTCAGGCAGTGCAGACTGATGCACCTTCATTTCCTGCCCTGGGACGCTGCAGGTTTGCACAGACTAACCCTGGTTTGGTTTCCTTTCCTAAAGGGAAGCCACATCCCCTCCTCCAGCCCATCGTTACCAATCATCTCACCATGATTCCCTTACAGCATGCCATTTATGACCCTCTTTAATTTGATGTGCATTACCATGTAGTGCATCTTTATCTGCTGATGATTCTACCTGAAATGTCATTAAATTGAGCTGAAACTGGGGTTTGTGTTTCAGCAGCTGTTTGGGAAGGGATTATCAAGGGGTTGGCCATGGTGAAGTTTTGGACTAAGCCACCATGAGTATATTTTCTATATCTTTATTGACCTAGGAAGTAGAACCCTTGCTGTTAAGCAGTTCCTTGTAGATTTTGAGCATGAAGTAGTATCGACTCTCCATATGTAATGGTATTAGGCAAACGCAGAAGTAGTAAGTTAATTGCCTCTTAAGTATAAACCACACCATTCTGTTGCACATTCGCCAGTCTGATGGAAGCAGAAGAGCCCCAAGCCAGCACCACTCAGTTTGCTCAAAGCATGACCACTTGTGTACCCTGCTGGTCTGGGGGATTGGTCAGAGGAGCCTTCCAGCTTGGAGCAACAACCTGATCCCAGCTCTGAGCCACACCAGGATCAAGTGTCGGATCACTTGGAGCACCCTGGTGGGGATGGAAGCCCTGGCACGGTGGTACCAGCCCCTGGCAGCCTGCACAGCACCCCTGGGTGCAGCACCACAACACGCTCCCATCAGGGCATGGGGAGCCCCAGTGATGGAGCTGGGTGGGCTCTGGACCCCTCCAGAGCAGCAGGTCTTCATCCTGCAGGATAACACATACGTAGTTACATGAACGCTGCATGTGTGCATGGGGGCAGTGACTGAGCAGCAACAGTGATTTTATTTTCCAGGACAGCCTTATTTGAGATGTAAGCAGACAATTATTTTGTAGGGCCAGTAGGGATATATTTTATGTACAGGAATAGAAAGACTTACCTCAAAAGTATCCCGAGAAAGGCAATTTGCAAAGGAACTCTCTTGGTAGAGACCCACCTGACAACCGAGCACAAGCAGTCCGAGCTGCTGCCCGACCACCAGCTCTGTGTTGCTGTAAAGTTCACAAGACTCCAGGGAGCAGGGCTGTGCTCCATTATTTTTCCAAAGCTGGGTTTTCACACCACATGCAGTGATGTGCATAGAGCTTAAGAGGAGAACAAATGCAGCACCTAAAAACGTGTATGAGCATTAGCTTTGAACAGGCACCGAAATGGCAATACTTTTTTAAGGCAAGGCAGATTTGTAATATATTTGTTCACTGTGCAGAGGTATCCCACCTTGTACAAAATAAATGGAATTTCTCTCAGTGTGTACTTCTCCAACATCCTCCTTTGCAGACTGAAGCTTCCAGCCCCTGATCAGGTCGGAGTGCTCCAGGCCATGCGACTGGTTACAGAGGGGCTGCCACCCTCAATGAAAGCACATCCCAGGATCAGGTTTCTCCCCCAGAAGAGACAGGATTTCTCAGAAAACAGTGCTGTGATTCAGCTGCAGCTGGGACCTTCATTCTAGCTTTAAAACAAAGGAATGGCTCTGCATGTATCTTTGTTACAGCTGTCAGCAGTTTAACCTCAGCGGGGCTGAGCAGTGCACAAACCCAGCCAAGCTCCCGCGTACCTACAAAGAGCACCAGGGCTCTGGTTTTCGGTGCTCTGTGGCACTATCAGGTTGTTGTGCCTTCAGGAGGATACAGAGCAGCACAGTCACTGTCCTGCCCCCAGCAGGGATGAGACAGGACACCAGCAGCTACCACGGCAGGTCTGCCCACGCACCCAGGGAGCCTCATCAATGCCTCAAGAGCACAGAACTGCAGCAGAACAGCTCCACAGTTAACAATGCCAGGCAGCCCTGAGCGCTGCCACCGGCTGAAGCTCTTCCAATATTTGTACTGCATATTTCTAGACACCTTGTTAACTAAAGCCCAGCACGTAATCTCCTCTTGATGTGACAAGCCACACTCAGGAAGCTGTTTAAGGCTGGAAATTCATCAGGTTGGACGTGATAGAATCAGTAGCTGTAGCTGAATGAAAATGTCTTAAAAATCAGAACAATAACATGCCCTTTCTGCTTAAGAGGCAGAACCTCACCTCCCATCAAACACCAGGAACACTGACACTCACTGAACAGCTTCATAACAGTGAAGGTTGGGACTTCCAAATATGTAAGTGACAGCAAAAGCTTTTGGCAGGTAAAGCCAATGTTACAGCATTATACAGAGTTCCTAGAAACTCACAAAGCTCATTCCAGGGCCCAAAAGCATTTTCTATTATAACTGGTTGTCTCCTATTAGCAAAGAGACACTTTAGTACAGCAGTAAAGCCAATACTATGGAAAAGGATGATTCATCAGCAGCTGAACGCAAACAATTCCCTCCTGGGTCAGTGTTCAGATGGAATAATGTCTTGCCCTGTCTCTCCCAAAGCTCTTTGTGAAGCATCTTTATGTGCCAGCAGTGTCCCTGGACTCACCACCACAGCACCACTTGGTCAGGAAAAGGCAGGACAGAACCCCAGCACACAAAGGTGAAGCTTTGAACAGGTGAGGAGTTACAGCTCTGTACACACCATCTGACTTTGCTTTGGAAGTCGATGGCTTAGGAAGTCTTTACAAACCAGTGCCTGAAAACGTAATGGTCCACGTTGCAGCAGTTCCTAAGTGCAACAAGAGGGTCTGCACAGCAAAACCTGTCTAAGGCCTGGTTTATGATTAAGTCTAAAGTTCTGGTGGGGGGGGGGGGAAAGAGTAAAATAGAGTTCTTTCTTTGTCTAACAGCTCCTGCAGCCATTTCACAGCTGCCCAGGGCTTAAACACAGCCCTGCTTGTTGTGAAGGAAACAGCGTTTGCACTCGGCCTCCAACAGGGATCTGTGCTCCCACAGGCACCGTTGCAGTTGTGTTTGCTGCAGAATGAAGCATCTTCAGCATCTTCTCACAGCCTGTTCCAAGCAGCTTACCAGCTCCCAGTAAGTAAAAAGCAACAGGTTAAATCCCAGCTCTCAGAAAAAGTGCACCCAACGCTATACTGAGTCGTCCCCTGTAATTCTTTATTAGAATCATGGATGAAAATCTTTTAAATCAATCTAAAAAAAAAAAATAATAATAATATTGGATCAAGGTACAGTACATGCATAAAATACAAAGTAATTTACAAACAGATCAAACCAGCATCTTCAGAACTAATACCAGGAGGAGAAGTGGATTTAAAAAAACACAAGTGACCGACTACAGCAATGCCTTCCGTGTGCCTTACACATCATGAGCACCGCGAGACAGAAAGGTTGGGTACGAAACGCAGCTGGTAGTGCCTACCCAGACTGGGATGCTCCAAGTGGGTCCTATCAGAGCTTGAGAAACGTCCCCTCCAACCACTTACAGTCCCCATAATTGTATAAATAACTGCAGGCATTCATATAACAAACTGTTCTTTTAAACCCCAGAGAAAGCCAGTGCCCATAGCCCCCAAATCTCAGGATTAATGGCATGTTTAGGAAGAGCACATATGGAGTGAGATGCAGCAAGTGCAGTGACAGAAGGCACAGTTCACATATCCCTGAACAAGCTGATCCAACAGATGATCTGTACTGAGCCACTGACCACAGAGGGAACCCATCCAGCAAGGAAACTACTCTGGAGGTTTCTGTCAAAGAACAGAAACCAAACCACTGGGATAATTTGGAAATATTGGGTGAAACAGAACTGAAAACTCAGACCTGGTTGTGGAAGTTCATCCAGCACTGAATAAACTAATCTGTGTGGCGTGTATTAATAAACGTGGTATTAATAATGTGACAACATCCTTCAAGTTCCGTGAAAGAAAAAAAGGCATCCTCAAATCCTGACACCACCAGCACTGTGGAGGCCAAGTCTTGGGCAGCACAAAACCACACTGCAAGTTCCAGTGTTGGCCTGACCCTTAATCCATTCCACAGCTCGTGCTCCCACGTTCTTCCCAAGGGCCCCCTCATGTGGAGTCCCACCAGGCTCCCGCAGCTCTGCCTCACATCACAACCTCCTCTGCAGCAGGTGCCAAACCACAAAAGCTCACTCACAGGTTAGTAAGAACCCTGCTGCTTTTTGGCAAGAAATTCCCTTTTCTCCCCCATAATATTCTATTAAAAAAAAAAACACCCATATCCTTAACTTGACTATCTGAAGATGTAGCCAAAAACATTTAACTTACATTAAAATTGCACTTCAGAGCAACAGGCGTTTCACCAAGCTTTAGATGCAGTCAAGGAAAGATGATCCTGCTCAGAGATATTTCCCCAGTTAACCTGACAGCAATCGCTTTGTGAGGAGCAGAATAACATCTTCTAGTGCTTACTAAAGGTGTCTGTGCTCTGACTAGCGGGCATCATGGTGGAAAGAGATGAGCTCAGCTCCAAACTATTCACTGACTCAAAACCGACAAGTCGGTGTTGGGAAAATACTGCAGCCACATAGAAGTAACAGATTTATAAACACTGAAATCAGAGTGTTTAAGACATGGAGAAATTGAGAAGGAATAAGCAGTAACTAAACACAGGAAAGGAACCACAAGAATTACAAATATATTTAAATCTTGGACCTGGGGAATATACACAGCCTTTTAGGAAAGAACCAGCGATTCTATATATTCTGACAGCACTGCATCTTTGGTTTGTTTTCAGTGGTTGGAGGGACGTGAATGGGAACCACGTTGTTGCTTGGAGACATGTCGTTCTCACGTCTGTCCGACATTTGCTTCTGGGACACGATACGATAGATCTCTGGAAGATGAGAAAGAGGCAGTCACTGCACACACACCAGCCAGACACCAGCAGGAAGCCAGCTCAGGGGGGGAAGCAGGCAGAAAATGTAGAAAGGTTTCCTATAGTTTTGGCACTGTGCAGGTAATGCACGAGAGCTGTCACACGAAGTTCAATTGTGATGCTTTCTATACACAGAAAATGTATTTTTGGCAAAAGAACTGAGTTTTTCAACAACTGTTGTAATTCCCTTTTGATAAGAGCCAGAATTCACAAACTTTTTTGCTACGCACCAGAATCTGTGCCCCAGCGATTCCTCCTGATAGCTCTTGAGGCTCTGAGGACAGCAGCCACATTTGCTGACGTATCCATAAACAGCAGGATTAAATAGAACCACTTGTAATTTCTCTCCCTGCTAGGACTGCAAGGGCAGTTTCTTCTCTCTCAGCATGCCTATCACATACGATACCTCCCCTGTTATCCAAGCAGCTTTACGTGTTCAGAAAGGGTTGCTTGGGGCCCAAAAGAGGAGCCTCAGCCCCTCCAACAGCACACAAACTCACTACCATTGGTGTAGCTGGACTTCAAAACTATGGAGAAGAAACATGGGTTCCAGATGAAGAAATTCCAGCATAAATCAGGGAGCACGGGTTAAACTCCTGCGCCTTCCCCAGCGCACTGCCACGTGGGGAACGCCGCACACCTGCACTGAAAGCCTTGCCCTGTTTCCTGGGATTTGTTATGCTGAACAGAAACTCAGAGCAGCTACAACAGCACTCACTTCAGCTGCACAGAAGAAAGAGTACGGCGTGCGTAGCACTTCACCCCCGGAAAGGATATAAAGGACACCAAAAATAGAAGACAGGGAACTCGCTTGCGAATTCGAGTCTTAAAACCACTAAAGTTTAAAAAACTAAAAGCTTGCTGAGCCTCAGTTTAACAGAAGAGATTGAAGTGACTCAGATTCAGGAAGAAGACAGCCCCGAAATGACAGCCTCACATCTGGTTCTTGGCACATCAGATAGGGGTGCTGGCAGCCAGCACATCAGCAGTGCCCGCAGCAGAACCCCGCAGCTGGGAGTCGATGCCTGCTCCCCGTCTGCACGCTCCAGCTCAGTGTCACAGCTTTCAGATTAGCCCAGGCTGCTGACAAGGGTGTCAGCACTTCACTGCTGCAGAGCAGGGAAGAGCACAGAGCACAAACTCTGGCAAAACAAAGCAAAGGTCCAAGTGCTTTTGGAGGTCTGAAGTCTCTTATCAGCTGGATAAGGACTGCCCAAACACACACCCCGCTGGACTCCACATCAAAACACATCTTTTCCACCAGGAATTTGTCATGTAAGAGCTGTTTTCGCTCAGAATTTTGATGAGCTGCTGCTTAGTGCACATCCTGACATCATTTCAGTAGTGGAAGTTGAGCAACCTGGTGCAGAGATCCTCCTTGCTGCCAAGGGCTGATCACACAGCTGAGCGCCTGCTTTTACAAGGGGAAGAGATGGCACTGAGGAGCCAAAAAGAGTCCCTGACAAACAAGGCTTGAAAACCTTGTCCTTGACACAATCAGCCTGCATTGATTTAAGCTGTCAACAAACAGAGGCCAAGAGCTCCCCAGGAAGAGTAAGAACAGGGCTGCACACGTGGCAAAACACATCTGTCTGATACTGTGCTGTATCTATGGGCTGTACAAATAACATTGACCTCGGCAAGTGTCACTTAGAAAGAATCTGCCTGTTGGGCCTCCAGCTGACAGCTCAGACAGGGATAAACAGTCCAGAAAAATGGGGTTTACACACACATCCAGTTACAGATCAAGGCACTGAGGCAACCAGACAAGCTCTGCACGCGTAAAAGGCTTTTCTGCTTTCAGTTCACTCTTCTGTCCGACAGCCTTAGACACAAACAACTCCACAGGTGAAGTGAATCCCATGAAGTGAGGTCTTTAAAGCCACCTGCAAGCCCATGTGGGAATCCACAGATAAAGATCAGCTTGGCCCAGAGTTGAGCAGAGTGCCCGTGGGCAGAGGTGGGAGGAGCACAGCCAAAGAGATCTGCTCTGCATTCTTCAGGACAGGTTTTCCTGCGCTGCCACCCTGCCCCAGCTCAAGGCAGACACCCAGTTTAGCTCCAGGTGTAAAACCTGCCTGTTCCTATTCATCAGCAGAAGGCTGTTGCCACTCTTGTTACCGGGAATTCCCAAGTAGCACTTACAGCAGCAACAATTCCCCGTTTTCCAGAGAACTTCTTGAACAAGCTCATACCAGTCCCTAACAGAAGCTGTCACGCACTTCCTCCACTCCTGTAAAGCGAGGACTTACAACTCTGTGTAACACCTTCATCTTACAGCAAAGACCTTCAGCAAACAACCCTGAAGCCTCAAAACCAATCTTAACAGTGCTGATTTCTCTGCTGATGAAGAGTCTGTCCCTTCTGACTCTGGGAACTACCTCCACGATCCCCACTTCCCCAGCTGTCCTGCAGGGACATTTCACAGCCATGCTGCTTCCATCAGCTTGCAGCACCCCCAGGTTTGCTGCTCAGTGTTGCTTCTCCCTCCTCTGCAGCACAAACCTGTGAGCGGCCACACAGATGAAAGCCTTAATGGCTAAAACCTGCCTTTCCCTGCATCAGCTGCGCACTCTTTCACCACACACAGCTGTGATGGTGTGAAAGGGGAAGTGGGAACAGCTCAAACCTCCACTTGCGGAGGCAAAATGCCCAGCAGCAAAGCCTACACTGAAACCAGTCTGTACAGAGGAATGCCAGGCTAATGAAGACATGTGCTTTTTAATGAAGACACTACACTTTATGCTCTGCTCAGTAACTGAATGAGACCTTATTAAGAGCACATTCAGCAGAATGCATCACTGCATAATTGGTAACTGTGTGAGACAGGCCTTGCACTGAAAGAGGGCTGGGAAAAAGTGACACTGCTGCCTAGGAGGAGCTTGTCCAGCCCTTGTCTGCTCAGCCTGAGCTAGCATTTCATTCAGTCCCAGGTAACAAAGAGGAAATCCCTAGATTTTTTGATGTTAATGCTCTGTGATGTTGTCTCCTTGGAGATGGGATTCCTTAGAGATGAAACAGCAGCACAACGCAGCACTGGGACAGACAGCACAGAGCCAGGCAGGGAACGGAGGCAGACTCCAGTTTACTTTAAGGATGCTTTATCCTGCTGTGAATGCTCGGAGTGCCTGGGATTATAATACCAGTCTCTCCTATTTGCCAGATGATACAAAGCAGCTTTGTGTGCACAGCAATCAGCCCCTGAAGTCTAGACATCTTGCAACAGGAGAATTTAGATAGGGACCATTACTCTAAGTCACAGAAGGAAAAGGTCCCCAAACCTTCATCTGGAGGTTCTTGTCCCACAGCAGGACAGGAAGCCCA